ACCCAACCACTCACTCACCTTCGTCAGGTGTGTGTGTTTGTTTTTGTTTGGCTTTTGGGAGGGAGGAGGTGCCGGAACTGGACTGGATTGCGTGTTTGAAAAAGATGAGAACTGACAAATTTATGGGATTAGCGGAGATTCGAATACTCTGATTCTGGGTCTGGCTCTGTGACTGAGTGCTTCGTTACAGATTGCTCGACTTCCCCCTTAAATGGCGCTTCCTGTCCGCAATCTGGTTAACCTTAAGACCGAATATCATTTACATACACCTCTATTTGTGTTGTAGAACCTTTTGCGTTGTAATAAGTGACCCCTTTCAAGGGGTTATTTGCCGAAATCAAAGGAGAGTGCATTGACGGCGCTTGTGTGTAGAATCCATTTGGTCAAGTTCACGGTCAGTGGAGCAAAATACACAGAATCGAGCACCAGAACGAGAATAACATGTTCTCCTGTCGGTAGCTAATGCCGAAAGTAAACACCGCCGGAGGAATGCCAGCTGCAGCAGATGGAAAATAAGACGCAATCCCCAGGTTGTCTATTTGGATACAGATACTCGTGCAGTGATCGATTGCATTCGTGTTGGCTTCTTTTCCTTTTTCATTTTTGCTTAGTTTTTGGGTGAAATGCATCGTGTCGGAAGGGGTTGCCGTGACTAGACCATCTGTATCTGGTGAAGGCATCTGCATCTGCATCTGCTTGGCGGCACCCACGAAGTGCCGGCAGCGCTTTTTGGCCAGACCTGATCTTGGCCCAAACTAGCACAACCATCTCCTCTAGACTTTCTAGTGCGTCTTTATGAAAAATGCAAGTTTTCCCAAAAAAAAAAAGATCTCTGATAAATGTTTGGCCGAATTTCCGCCAAGCTGCAGCGTTTGTTGGGTATTACCTTTGACAGCTTTTTATCTGAACGGAGCTTATAGCGAATGCCCCAACTCTAGGCCAAATATTTGAGGCCATAATCTAGGGGGATCAAGTGAAAAGTCTTAGATATAAGCCTGTAATTGGCTGTTTACTCTGCTGATAAATTAGCAAGTGCGAACTGTGATAGCTGTCGGTGTGGCTTCCACTTGTTTTCGTTTGTGGGCGCACTCGTTAACCGCAAATCCATCTGATACTCATTTCCCGCCAGGCCACGCATTCAATTACCATTTCAACACTGCAGTTCGAACTGGATTTGGATATGGATATTATGGTACGTGGTTATCTAACCCGCATTCTCACCTGTCACCGGCAATCCAGTGGGCTAATCACGGCCCCCAATTCGCGTTCAGATACAAAGATACACACACGCGCACTTCGGGATGCGATTTGCACTTAGCAGTTAGCAGTTAGCAGTTAGCAGTTAGCAGCTATTCCCAGTTCCCAGTCAGCAGAAATTAGCGTCAAGTTGGCTTAAAGACTGATCTGATCCGCACACGCGTTGGCTGTCGCGACAGATTTGGAACTCAGACTGCGACTGAGACTCGGCCAAGTTAACAGAGCGAGCTGTTAGCGCTTAGCAGCTGCCTGCGATTTTAGGATCGCGAAACGAAGCCGACAAGCCGCGGCGCTGCCGACAAGCGATTTGCGCTTTGTGAGCGCAACAAACCTCCGACTGCTTCCACATTTTGCTGAGCCAACAAAACGCTGCAAAACAAGCAAATTTTTCGGGAAGTTTTTGAGCGAAAAAGAGCTGTAAAAATGGATTCAAACGAAGCCAAGACAGGGCACGAGCCGAGCTCAAGTCTCCTAGGTGTATCTTATTCAAATGCATCTACTATGAATTTCTGCAGAATTTATTTCAAGTCTAGCTGAATCTTGCTTGTAAAATAGCATATTAAATTATAAGAATTTAAAAGAGAATAGTATAAAATAATAAATAATTAAACACCTGAGCTTAGTCAGAAATAAGAGTATTTCAGGGTATTATAATTTGACTCCGAGTCATGAAACTTGGTGAAGGAGTCATTTCCGACCCTACAAATCATATATATTCTTGATCAGCATCGAAAGCCGAGTTCATTTAGCCATGTTTTGAGAAAATTTAATTTTTTAAATTTTTTCAAAATTTTGTAAGGGGTTACATCATTAAAATTGGCAAAAATTGGAAAAAATTGTATACAGTCGAGTCCCGATAATTCGAAATGGCAAGGGGATCACTTTTTTTACGAATTAGACGGGAATTCGATTTATCGAGATTTCTATTTAAAGGGGCTCAAAAATGAAAGAGTCGAATAAACGGGGTTTTTACATTTCACATCATGTTTACATATGTATTTAGCTTTATTAAAATTAAACAAACATAACAAATATGTACATTCATTTGTACGTTTTTCAAATTAAAGGAAAATTAAACAAAAAATTAACAAACAAAATTAAGCAGAAACATTAAATTATTAAAAACGAAAATTTATGCTTTAAAATAATTGGTAATTTTTGATTGCTTCGTGTTTTTTTTTCTTTTATTTTTTCCATCGCGTTTTCTAAACCTATTAGGTTGTCTAACACACTATTTGGCACATCATGAGTCGAAAAATAATGTTTAAGTTGAGGAATTAATGCTCTGGTTTGTAAATTCTATAAAATTTCTTCTCCGTTCTGATGTCTGCAAAATCTAACGTCGCTTTAACTACAAAATATTTCGCATCGCATTACGATTTATAAGAGGTTTCGAAACAAAATTACGATTTATAAGACGTTCAATATTCTTTTGCGTTGCGCCAAATACTACGAAATAACGAGTTTTTTTTCAAGGGGACAGAATTTTTTACGAATTATCGCGATTTTCGATTTAGCGGGGTACGAATTATCGGGATTCGACTGTATATAGTCCACCGATACGTCATGCTCCGACTTATATACCAGTAAAATTATATACAAGAATAACTCCATAGATCATTGAAATAGATTAAATTTGTTCTAAAACAAATCTCGCACAACTGTGCATATGATTCCCAACAAGTTCTAACATCCCCGGAACGAAGTGAGTGCTGCCGGCCAAGTTTCAGAAATGTGTTGTGTTACAAAAGTTGCAAGTCATTGTTTATTAGTGTTCAAAGTTAGTAAGTGAACATACATACTTACTGATCAGAGTTACTTACTGGTCATAGATACTTACTGTTTAGAGTTACTTACTGCTCAGAGTTACTTAGTGTTCATTGATACTTACTGATCAGAGTTACTTACTGCTTAAAGTTACTTGCTGATTAAAGTTAAATTAAATATCAGCTCGCTGCTGCTCTCTGCCTCTCCCCCACTCTCGCTATGTTAATCGCTCTATGTTAATCTCTAGAGGCAACAGCTTCTCTCCCACGCACTCACATTCTCTTCTCTGCTCTGCTCTGCTCTGCTCTTCTCTGCTCTGCTCTGCTCTGCTCGCGGACTATAAATAGAGGCGCTGAGGGCCCGCGCTCCTCAGTCTGTCCTAGGGGTACCTAGTGTTAACATCTCAAGTGATAGTGCAAGTGATCAGCCTTCGGCCTAAAAATATGACGTGGCCAATGCAATACATCTGGATGACTAGGAAGAAGCTCCCTTTGGATGGAATCAGCATTTTTGGTCACAACACTGGAAGGAAGTAAACAATGACGTGTCCTCTACTGCGGTAACTCTTAAACATGACATTTATATTACAGTCGAGTCCCGATAATTCGAAATGGCAAGGGGATCACATTTTTTACGAATTAGACGGGAATTCGATTTATCGAGATTTCTATTTAAAGGGGCTCAAAAATGAAAGAGTCGAATAAAGGGGGTTTTTACATTTCACATCATGTTTACATATGTATTTAGCTTTATCTTTTCTGCAAAATCTAACGTCGCTTTAACTACAAAATATTTCACATCGCATTACGATTTATAAGAGGTTTCGAAACAAAATTACGATTTTTAAGAGGTTCAATATTCTTTGCGTTGCGCCAAATACTACGAATTAACGAGGGGACCAAAATGTATGGAATTTTTACGAATTAACGAGTTTTTTTCAAGGGGACAGAATTTTTTACGAATTATCGCGATTTTCGATTTAGCGGGGTACGAATTATCGGGATTCGACTGTATTTGTATAACTTTAAATTTGGTATGCAGATTTGTTATCCCAATAAAAACGCACACAGAAAAGTATTCAGAAGTGAAATTAATAAATTTTTGTCTGAGCTATGAGGGATTTTCTCAGCAAGAGTATTGAAATTTCTATTTCACGAAGTTAAGTTCTTACTTGTTCTGTATTTCCTTTTGTATTACATTAAATAATAAAAGGTTACATATATTTACAATGATATTGTACAGCATGACAGATCTTTTTGAACACATTAAATATTAATCTGATATGTCTTTGTTGTGCGTGCCGGCAGAGTTATGAAGTTGTTGATGTGGCTGTGGCAAGGACACTGCCTTGGCAAAACGATCCTTAATTGCGTAAGCTGCGAATAAATATTAAGCTTAATTGTTTTGTAGCTGCGCCTTCGTCTTGTCTCGCCTCGCCTCGACTTGCTTCATGTCAAGCGCATTTAAATAAATTCTATGGAATGAGTAACGACAAGCAAGACAATTGCAAGTCAAAGTCGGCCAGTGCGAGTGAAGGAGCTGCTCCACATGCGTGTGGGTGTCTATATACATACATATATGTATGCCGATTGCCGATCCGATATATCCCCATCTACTGGCAATGACAGTGCTTGAACCTGACATTCAGTGAATTCATATTTATTCTCCCACTGACAGCTCTCCGCTGGCAACAAATCGTTGTGATCGCTCAACAAATCGTATCTGTGTTTTGTATCTGTATCTGTCCCCGTAGCTGTATCTGTATCTGTATCTGCAAGTGCGACTTCGACGCGCTCTCTGGCTGATGCGTTTTTAATTGAAGTCAATTCGGCAGACAGCCAAACTGGACAGATGCAATAAATTATGGGGAGTAAAGTCAATTTGATTATTGATTTCGCGAAAATGCGCCCTTCCCCAAGAACCAAAGTCAGAGTCGCAAGTGCTTTTAAAATACTCTATATTTTAGACTCATTTGTCTATGCTTGAGTGTTGCACAGAGTGGGGCCATTGCCAATGCAGCCGGCATAGGCCATAAAGTGGGGAATGAAGCTCTGCTGGAGGACTCCGCCGAATAGATGGCTCTGAGGGCCAGTGGCAAAAATACCGACATCTTCGCCAGCATGCACACCGATATTGCCATGAATGTAGCTGGGATGAATAAAGTCTAAAGGGGAATATAATTAGTTAATAAGTTATATATGTTTAACATGTAATTCTCACCCTCCTTTCCAACTTTATCAGAGATATCGTAGCGTTGGCCATTCTCGTCCAGGTACTGCTCCAGACCCACGGCGTAGTTCAGAGTGGCATACTTCACGCCATTCACATCGGCATCGTCCTGGTTGAGTCCCAGGATGGGGGTGCCCCTGCTGGGATATCCAGCGATAGTCAGGGGATGGGCATGGTCAGAAGTTACCACTACCAGAGTATCATCGGGATCGGTCATTCCAATGGCCTCCTCCACGGCCTGCTCGAACTGCAGTGTCTCGTCCAGCGACAAGGTCGGGGAGTTGTAGTGGTTGCCGTAATCAATGAGGCCGCCCTCAACGAACAGGACATAGCCCTCGGGGTTCTTCCTGACCACCTCAATGGCCTTGCGGGTCATCTCCGCCAGAGTGGGCTCCTCCTTGGCATCGGCCATTTTATGGAAGTTCATTACGCCCGAGCGGAAGGTACCGATCAGGTTGGTGATCCTCGAAGCGTTCACGCTCAGCAGCTGGGCGCGGTTGTAGGCATGGACGCCGCCAGGATGCATGCCCTGCCAGCGGGCCAAAAGGTTCACTCCATCGGACCGCTCGCCCTTCTTGTTGAACGGATCCGTGACGGTGTTGGGAAGGAATTTGCCAATGCCGCCGCCCAGCATCACGTCGAAGTTCTTGCCGGGAGTCTGCGTGATTAGCTGAGTGGCAATGTCCGTGCAGGTGGCCGGGTCATTCTGTCCCTCGCCATAGGTCACAATGTCTGTGTCGCACTCGAAGAATCGGTTGGTGGTCTTGGCATAGGCTCCCGATGGACTGGCATGGGTCAAGGTTGTGGTGGTCACAATGCCCGTGGATTTGCCGGCATTCTGGGCCCACTCGGCAATGGAGGTCAGACGGTTGGCAGGATCCTCACTGCCACTGCAGTTGTTAAAGTTGACGGCAGCGCTTACTCCAAGGGCCACGATGTTGGTCTTCACACCGCACAGATAGGCGGTAGCCGTGCAAGCTGAGTCGGGCACCTGGGCGTTGGAGCAGTACGTCTGCAGAGTGGATAAGTGTTTATCAGGAGCCTCAGAAATGTATAAAAATCGCAATTTTAAATATAGTTTTGCACTCACCTTGCTCAGACCGGTGTAGGGGAACTTCTCGAAGCTAAGGGAGTCCTCCTCGCCGGGATTGCCCTTCAGCTGACCCTTGTGAATTCGTGCGGCCGCCACTGTGGACAAGGACATGCCATCGCCGAGGAACATGATCAGGTTCTTGGCCTTCCTCTTATCGGGTTGCGGCTGCTCCAGTTTTCTGGCGAGCTCCTCGTAAGCCAGATCATACCAAAACTGAGCGTTCTTCTCCTCCTCGGGTCCGCTACCGCGCTTTCCCAAGGCATTGGGATCGATGATATTTCCTTCGCGGGCCTTCGAGACTGTCCCTCCAACCAACTGCCTTTGGCTGTGAATCTCAGGCACTGGAAATTGTACGATTCTTGTGAGATTTTTGAACACTATTTGGTCGATTTCTACCACCACTCACTGTCCAGAGATGCAGCCAAGGAGGCGGCCACCACGGCGCTTAGGACCATGATAATCCCGACGGTTCTTGTCATTTTGGATAAATGTTAAGTTCGCTTGACGTTGGCAATTGAACTGATTTCGGTGCTCTTCCCACGGCTTTTTATTAACCAGTTTGGGCGGCCTTATCTGGGTTGTCATATCTTCATGGCATAATCCTCTAAATTAAAACCTCTTCCAAAATCTCAGTTTATGGCCTGGTATTTGCCTAGTCTTTTGGCTTTATGATTATATGGTGGGGATAATTCTGGCCGAAAGGCCCGGCTACCAGTCCGAGGACCTGGACCAATGAAAACCTATCTAGAGCGATAACTAACACGCTTCGGGTTCTGATGGGCACGGCACCCCAAAAATCGGGGACCGCTGAACCTGACCCTCCACCCCACACTGACAAGGTGAAATTAGGGGCAGCAAGTGCTAAATTCCACATGTGTTCGCAACCATAAGCATGACTATTAAAAGATATAGATATTATATCTTGGATAAGCAGTCCAACTGACGTGACACCCAATTAAGGTTCTTTGGTGATAGGAGACACTGAGGCTGGGACTGTCACTGGGGCCTTATGGTTTCAGTCTATACAATTCCTCGGAGCAATGATTTATATATGTTTTATTCATCATACCATTCATCAGGCATCTAAAGTTACTCAAAGGACTTTATTTATTTCCCTAAAAATTAGAAAAAGTGTCATTAAAATTACAGAAGATAAAAGCTACACGTTATGGTTTATTTTATTGGGTAATCATGTTAAAAACTAAAGTAATATTACTCATCTAAAACGGTTGTATATGTTAGAATTAAATTTGATTTATTTTAGGGCAATTATTTACATGAACGATTTTATTTTAGGTATCTTAAAGTATTAAAGATGTTCTCTAAAAAAGGAACTGGTCATTATCGGTTTCCAATTATTCAATTTTGTGAAATCTACAGACTTTCAGGGGTTTAAAATAAACTATTTAAATTAACCCCAAATCGTGGAGATTTGCCAATTAAATTTACTAACTTCAATAAGTCAAAAAAGCGTTGGTTTTAAATTTATTTTGTATAGCCTAATATTTTGTAATTAATAACAATATAGATCTGTTGGACTTCCAAATGAAAACAAGACTTCAGCAATCTTGAAATGTAATGGTTAATATTTATCTCCACAATCCCAAAAAGAACCTATGCAATTATCAACTTTTTTTTAGAGTTCAAAGTAATATAATTGTACTAAATGTTTTAGTACGTAACTATAATCTTTATTGGGGTAAAATCTATTTAATCTGCATTACTTGTTATGTAACTAGTATCTTTTTTTATTCCAAACTTCAAGTCTTCAAAAATTTTCCATACATAAAAGATATATCCCCAAGTAAACAATTACCATATGAAGATTTTAAATTGCTTAGTACATTTTTTTATTAAAGACTTAAATGTGGAGTCTTGCTGAAAAAATAATAAAATATGCCCTATATTCGGACATCGTCATCATTAAAAGTTTGCTAAGTTTTCCCTGAGTCTTGTAAGTGAATTTTCCTGGCATCGCGTCTTTCACTGCCGATCGCACACCTTTTTTCCGCTTCCGACGCACGAGGCATAGGCCATCAGATGGGGAATGGTGCTCTGCTGCATCACGCCGGTGAAGAGGTGACTCTGGGGACCGGATGCCCAGATGCCGACATCCTCGCCAGAGTGCACGCCCTGGTCCTTGGCAATGTAACTGGGTGCAATTGCGTCATCGGAAACGAGGATGTCGTCCAGGGGAATGCGCTGTCCGGTCTCGTCCAGATACTGGTTGGGACCGGCAGCGTAGTTGAGCACGGCGTACTTCACGCCATTAAGATCGGTGTCATGCTGATTGAGTCCCAAAATGGGCGTTCCACGGCCAGGATATCCGGCAATGCTGACAGCATGACCATGATCAGCAGTCACCACAATCAAAGTGTCCTCGATGTTGGTCATATCCCGCGCAAGTTGAATGGCCTTCTCGAATTCCAGGGTCTCATCCAGAGCATAGCCTGGTTGGGTGTAGTGATTGCCATAGTCAATGAGACCACCTATTGAAGAAAGAGAACATAAGGATATAGAATACAAAGCGCTTTGAATTGTGTGTTTGTGAAAACCAGAACAGCATCCCCATTAAATGTTATATACTGATAAAGCTGATGATATATACAGCCTAAATGCTCCCAGCAAACTTATATGACCCTCACTCTTTATAGACCAACCCACCTTCAATGAACACAAAGTATCCATTTTCGTTCTGACTCAGCTTCTTGATGGCCACCTCGGTGAGCTCGGAGAGAGTGGGCTGGTAGGTGGCATCCGCATCCATGTGGAAGTTCATTAGCTTGGACTGGAAGAGGCCAACGATGCTGGACACACGAGAGACGTTAACACTGAGCAGCTGATTGCGGTTGGTAACCAGGACTCCGTTGTCGTGTAGTCCCTGCCAGCGGCCCAGCAGGTTAACGCCATCGGATCGCTCTCCGGCGTTTCCGTGGCTATCCTTGATGCTCTTGGGCAGGAACTTGCCCATGCCGCCGCCAAACATGATATCAAAGTTCTTGCCGGGCGTTTGTGTCACCAACTGAGTGGCCATATCGATGCAGGTGCTGGCATCGGCGCCGTAGCTAGTCACATCCGTGTCACACTCCCACATTCGATTGGCGGTCTTGGCATACGCTCCCGAAGGACTGGCATGGGTTAAGGTAGTGGTGGTCACGATTCCCGTAGACTTGCCGGCATTCTGAGCCCATTCGGCAATGGAGGTCAGACGGTTAGCAGGATTCTGGCTAGCCGTGCAGTTGTTGTAGTTCACGGCGGCACTGACTCCGATATTGATGATGTTGGTCTTTACGCCGCACAGATAGGCGGTGGCCGTGCAGGCAGAGTCGGGTACCTGGGCATTAGCGCAGTAGGTCTGTAGAGAAATAAGATTCCCATTTGTTATTACATATATGTCAACGCTGTCTGAAATCCTGAATTGGTACTGTAACTCACCCTGCTCAATCCCGTATGGGGGAACCGCTCGAAGCTCAGCGAGGACTCCTCCCCGGTCTTGCCCTGACGCTGTCCCTTCAGGATTCGAGCAGCTGCAACGGTGGCCAGGGGCATACCGTCGCCCAGGAACATAATCACATTCTTAGCCTTCACGGGACTGGGCTGGGGCAAAGCGAGACGCTTCTCTATCTCCTCGTCGGCGAGTGAGTACCAGAATTGAGGATCCATCTCTTCCGGGGTGTGTACTTGTTGTTGGCCACATCCGTCGAGAACCTGGGCTTGATGGCAGGTTGGCCCGACATCTCGTAGACGTTGTGCACCTCCCTGAGGCCGCCGAGGGTTGTTCCGGCCATGGCCAGGAGCCCCAGGATGGGGAGAAGAAACTGCCTCTGCGAGGAGAGCATCTTTCTAATTGTGTTGCTGCTGGTGAGGTATCACTAACTACACCGGGTTGCTCGGATTCCTTGGGCTTATATGGCCTGCTGCGATTCGTGTGCGGGGGATTATAGTGCCCCAGACAGGGAGTATCTAAATTTAGTTTATGGACCCACGACTGAGTTATCTCGGTGGGTACGAACCTTCCCTATCTCCCGAAAAATCATCTGAATCTTGCATGATGCCCGGGTAGTTGGGAAAGGGTCTGTTTAATTACCCGCTACGTAGGAGGTTTAATTTTGCCACTATCTAACCACCACTATCCAACCAACCAATAAAAAGAAAATGTGTTCTTGCTCATCTTTGAGGTCGTTTGAACATATTGTTTCGATGTTCAAAAAAATGGAGATGCCGTGCCCACTTGTCTCGCACATGATCCTCGAAAAAAAGCTGGAATCACCTGTGCAAATAGTTCCCGCAGCTCTGTGAATCAGTGCAGTCACGTTTGCGGCTATAAACCAATAAGCTAGTCCCATGATCTCCATATCTATCCAGAACGTGCGCTGACTTATCAGTAGAATTTTGCATTTTCACAAATGGACTTGCCTGCCTCTCGGACCGCATCTCGTGGACTGTGGAGAAAGTTGTTATTGTTTAAACTGCCTGATATGGAGAATGCAGGAATTACAGGAATCTTAACATTATAATTTTAATGGTTTACAAATTCACAATTTCGTAGAATCAAGTTCTAGATAAATGTAAGAGAATTTAAAAGATTACAAGCTATTACAATGGTGAAATTTGAGAAAAGGTGAATCTACTAAATATGACAAATAGATAAAATTTCATTCTTATCACTTTCTGGGAAATTATTGCCATAGAATCATACTTCCATACTTCAAAATTTTAGACAAAAAATAAATAAATAACAAAATTCTGCAAATGTTCAAACGTAGTTGCAGCCTCTTGGACAAGCTGTCCAAGCAGCAAGTTGCCGAGTGGCTGGGCGGGATCCAGACCGTTATTTTCGGTACAGATGGGGTTTTGTGGCATGAGTATGAGCCCATTGAGGGATCCGTGGATGTCTTTAATGCCGTCAGGGCCAAGGGAAAGCGATGCCTGATCGTGACCAACGATAGCATCCTCACGAATGCGAATTTGACCCAGAAGGCAGCGGGTATGGGCTACCAAGTCAGGGAGCAGGATGTGCTCAACTCAGCGGGATCAATATCGAGCTACCTCATCGACAGGAAGTTCGAGAAGAAGGTGCTCGTCATGGGCGGTAGTGGCATCTGTAGGGATCTGAGAAATGCCGGCTTCTGCACCATTGTTAGCAACCAAAATGCAGAGGGAAAGTGCTGGGTCGAGTTTGTGTCCACTCTGGAGCTGGATCCCGATGTGGGTGCCGTGGTGGTGGCCAGGGATGATGCCATGGACACAAATGGGATGATCGTAGCCTGCAACTACCTGCAAAATCCCAAGGTGCTCTTCTTGACCACCGGCAGAGATGGATCCATCGCTTTTGGCAAGCAACGGATTCCAGATGCCGCCACTGTGGCGGCTGCCATCCAAGTAATTGTCAATCGAAAGCCCGTAGTCTTGGGAAAACCGCATCCCCGGATAATGGGAAAGTTGCTGGAGTCCGGCGAAATCGAGCCAGAAAAGACTCTAGTGATAGGAAACTCGTAAGAATCATTTTAATATAAAACTTTGTTCCTTAATAACTATTTATATTATAAATCTTATTAATCAGGCTCAAAGAGGATATGGCTTTTGCCAGCATCTGTGGTTTCCAGTCTCTTTTGGTGGCTGACGAAAAAGCTCTTAAAGAAGCCCAAAGAATTAAAGAAGAGGGAAACGAAAATAAGATAAAATTGGTCCCAGATCTCTATTTATCCAGTTTAGCTCATTTCATGAGTTTTTAAGTACCGAAAGTAATTCTGCAGAATCCGAAGACGAAAATCAAGACGAAGAAGATTCACAGCAAAAAGTTGCCTATGAGTGAGAAATCTAAGTTTTTCTAATTCAAATTTTGGCGCGCAGGCAGAACTAAAGATAGTAAAGAGCTATAAAATCAAAATAGTACATTTAAAATCAATACACATTCTAATAAAACCGCCGCTTAAGCCAAAGTTTTCCACCTTTTTCCTAAAACTGGTATACTGATATACTGTGATATTTATCCTAGGCCTAGGCATAGTATTTCGATAAGCGATAAATTTACTGGTTTCAAAAAGACCTCCGCTTAAGCCAAGTTCCCTACCATTATTCAACAAAGTTTTCCACCTTTCACCTAAAACTGTACTGGTATATTGATATACTGTGGTATTTATTCTAAGGCCTATATATAATATTTCGAACGCGGTCACACTGTTCTCATATTTGCTGTTTTCAAGACAAATTTTTTAATTCGGAACAAAGAAGCAAGTGACAACGATAAGCGATAAGGATTCAAAGCTTTTTACAGCATTATTGAGTATTATTACTCTGCGCGCGGGTGCTAGTCGAGAATATTTGGCACAAGATGCCATTTAGACGTCGATGCAAATAAACTGCAGGCAAACACCTTGAGTGCAACGGGGCTGCAAGTGTGTGCGAGTGCGTGAAAGAGAGTGTGCAAGTGTGTGTGTATACATGTGGATGAACGAAAATAAAACAACGGACCGCTCCCCGCCGCCTCCCGCAAAGCTTGTCCCAAATAGAATACGGAGAACTGCATCGCACTAAGTCCCCAACTATCCCATCCATCTCCCCGCTCCGACCCGTCGCCACTCTCCGTTCTGTGCTCACCACTCTGCACTCCCCTCGGCCGCCGCCACCAGGAGCAACCACAACAACAACAACAACAACAAGACCGTCACTTCATCCACCTCCAGGAGCAGCAGCAGCAGCAGGAAAAACAACAACAGCAACCACCAGCGCCCTTACAACAACTGTTACAAAAGAGCGAGGCGAGAGACACGACACTCCGCCCCGCAACCCCGTTTACAGCTCACTCACATACGCACGCTCGCTGGCCCACAGACACACGAAACACACACACACACACACAGCCAGCAGCCACACAGCCTGGTGTCCTCGCCAGAAATTCAATCTCAATCCGAATCCCAATCGCCATCGCAATCGAAGGCGTAATTGTAGTCCGCGAAGATGGACTCCGATATCGAAATGGAACTGGAATCGGACAACGATGATGACTACGACTACTACAACACAGGTAAGCAGGATTTTGTTAATTCAAAACAAGCCACCTCTCCCCTGGCCTCTCTCTGGCCTCCTCTCCTCCTGACAACAATCAGCGCCATCGATTTAACTGAGGCTAAATAGGCCTGTCGCTGTGTTTGTGAGGAAGTACACACACACACACACACACGGACACAGAGTGCCCTGGGCATATGTGTGCGTGCGTGTGTGCATGCGGGTTGGTTATTCACCTTTTTGGAGGCCTAGAGAAGCGAGAATATTTGCATTCAGCACTTGACATTCGCCTTGGGTTCCGCCTGCTCCCCTTGGTGGAGACCCATCGCCTCCTCCAGTACCCCCTTCTCTCCTGAGGGCTTTCCGTTTCTTGGCTTGACCATGAGGCTGAAATTATGGAATTGAACTTGAAACCAACACACACGCACGTAGCTGCACGACGAGAAAAGAGTGCTAATTTTTAATAATAATTGCAATTAAAATTAGAAACAATAGCTTTGACACTTAATAATTATATGCATTATCCTTGCAGCATGGAAATCATTATAACTTAGTCAAAAATTCACTAATTTCAAATCGGAAAGCTAGTTATTATTAGGTTAACAAATCTGTAAAATCAGTTTAAAGTTTAAAAAATTTCAATTTTAACGATGTAACCCCTTATAAAATTTTGAAAATGTTGAACAAAAATAAATTTTGGCCGGAAATAGCTAGATTGACACGGTTGTTAATGCTGATTAATAATTTATATGATTTGTAGGGTTGAAAATGACTCCTTTATCAAGTTGTATGCTTCTGACTGATATTATAATACCCTGCAAGGTTATAACATTTGTAGTAATTTGCTTATAAATTCAAGATGTTTTAAGTTCTCAGGATTTATTGACTAGAAATTATTTGATTTTCATTCCATCAAAGCCTTTAACTAGCCTCTTATATCTCTCCGTGTTCGAATAAGTACAATTCGTAGTTGCGACTGATTGTGAGGTTTTGTGTTTTGTGGCTGGCTTCATTATTGCCCGCCGCTCTTCCCACGCTCTTCTTCGCTCCGCAGCACACCGTCACACACACCGTCTCAGGTGCGTGCCCAAGTACGTAGTTGCACTTTGTTTTGTGCCCGCTTTTCCGTCAGCCCTGCCTTCTGACCTGTCCCTTCCGCCAACAACTTGAGACCTGGCCAAGACGCCTCGTAACAGCCAACAGCCTACAGCCTTCAATCAGATACCCGTACGGGTATGGCTAAAATCGGGCATTTGTATGGCAGCCTTGTTGTTCAGCTTAGGGTTACGAATTAGCAAAAGTACGGTGTTCACAAATACTGACAGGAAGACCGATAATCGGTGTAAGTATTTAGCAAATACTATCCGATGTAGATATATCTATTAAAATCTATTATTATCTTTTAAAATATATCACAGTTTAGAGTCAAATATTCATAAGTCAAACCAGTTTATGTCGCAATATTTATATATGTGCAACTGTAACTCGAAATCATCTACAAATTAACCCCTATTTTTGGTGGTAGATTGTGATGATTTCAGCTGTTGTGTATTCGTTCTCACTTCCACAACAATTGAATCAATTTAATATGAGATCCTACCTTTAATAAATCCTATTATGTACTCATGAATCCCGAAACAGACTCACTTATTTACCCATTTCTCTTACAGGCGAGGACTGTGATGTGGAACGCCTGGATCCGAAGCGAGCCGATCCCGAGTATTTCGAGTACGAGTGCCTAACCGTAGAGGACATCGAAAAGCTGCTCAACGAGCGCGTGGAAATTCTAAACACCATCCTGCAGATCACGCCCTCGCTGGCCAAGGTGCTGCTGCTGGAGCACCAGTGGAACAATCACATTGTCGTAGAAAAGTACCGGCAGGACGCCAACGCGCTGCTGGTGACGGCGCGCATCAAGCCTCCCACTGCGTCCGTTGCGGATACCGCTTCCACAAGCGCTGCGGCGGCTACCGCTCAGCTCCTTCGGCTCGGCAGCAGCGGATACAAGACAACGGCCTCGACGGCGCCACAGTACCGAAGTCAAATGTGCCCCGTTTGCGCCAGCTCTCAGCTGGGTGACAAGTTCTATAGCCTGGCCTGCGGCCATTCGTTCTGCAAGGACTGCTGGACCATCTACTTTGAGACGCAGATCTTTCAGGGCATCTCCACGCAAATAGGATGCATGGCCCCGATGTGCAATGTACGGGTGCCGGAGGATTTGGTGCTGACGCTCGTCACCCGGCCGGTAATGCGCGACAAGTACCAGCAATTCGCATTCAAGGACTACGTGAAATCACACCCGGAGCTGCGCTTCTGCCCCGGACCCAACTGCCAGATCATAGTGCAATCATCGGAGATCTCCGCCAAACGTGCCATATGCAAGGTATGCCACACGGGCTTCTGCTTCCGGTGCGGCATGGACTACCATGCGCCCACCGACTGTCAGGTGATCAAGAAGTGGCTGACCAAGTGCGCCGACGACAGCGAAACGGCCAACTACATAAGCGCCCACACCAAAGACTGCCCCAAGTGTCACATCTGCATCGAGAAGAACGGCGGCTGCAACCACATGCAGTGCTTCAATTGCAAACACGACTTTTGCTGGATGTGCCTGGGCGACTGGAAGACGCACGGTTCCGAGTATTACGAATGCTCCCGCTACAAGGATAACCCCAACATTGCCAACGAGTCGGTGCACGTGCAGGCGCGCGAGGCGCTCAAGAAGTACCTGCACTACTACGAACGCTGGGAGAACCACTCCAAGTCGCTCAAGCTAGAGCAGCAGACGATCGACCGGCTGCGCCAGCGCATCAACTCCAAGGTAATGAACGGCAGCGGCACCTGGATCGACTGGCAGTATCTCTTTAATGCGGCGGCACTGCTGGCCAAGTGTCGATACACCCTGCAATACACCTATCCGTACGCCTACTACATGGAGGGCGGATCACGGAAGAATCTCTTCGAGTACCAGCAGGTGGGTTGCTTAGAATGTCGCAGCCTTCGCTTGGATCAAACATCTAATAATCTATCAATTCCACAGGCGCAACTGGAGGCTGAGATCGAGAACCTGTCGTGGAAGATCGAGCGTGCCGAGACGACGGACCTGGGTGATCTCGAGAATCAAATGGACATCGCTGAGAAGCGTCGTACCACCCTACTCAAAGACTTCTTTCCAGTGGATGCATAGGCAAAACGATACGCTTCCAGAACCACCAGGATAGAATAGAACAGAACGAAACCGACAGACAGAACAGATAGCTTGTCCCGTTTAGCACAAAAAGAGACTGTTGAAGGGACGACGACGCGACAGTATAGACGCTTATTTAAATTAAATTAAATTATACAGATATTTACACACATGTATCCATCTAGAGTTAGCCTAACGACGTGTAGCTAATTTTTAAACTAAACTAATAATCAAGTGCATATAGAATAGAGTACGTAGCGTAGAGCATAGTCGACTACTTGAAGTATAATATTTATAGTTGTGACATTCGAAATCACTCAAAACGATCGGTTAAACTGCAATACCACGCCTTGCGCAGAACGTTAACGATAGCGATAGCAGTACTATAACTATATGAAACTAGCTACAGACAAACCAGACGCATTTCAGTGGCCAAGTGTTCCAACAGTTTTCCAAAAACTAAGCCCAAGCGACCCGACGAAGTGCAGAATCAATTCTAAATTTATAGCGCAGCAAGTCAAGCAATTATTATATAGATCAATGGCCGGCCGATGGCCAGAGACCCTAAGTTTTAAATCTCGTATTAACCCAGAGCGAGGCTGAGAGCAGCAGCCGCGTTAACAGCATCAAGTATTCGTAATCTGTATCTCGTAACTAACCGCAGCACATCAATCGAACGCCAGGAGGAGTCTTGAAGTATAACGAAACTAGAGGTACTCCCTGCCCTCTCCCCCACCCGTCCCGCAAACCCCTGTTCCTTTCGATTCTCACTCAATTCTCGATTAACTTTGTAAGCTGAACCATAAATTATATTATAGGATTACGCTATGTATGTATGCTTATGCGACTGAATTTGAATTAAATTTACACTAGAATATAATTAAAAAAAAAAAACCAAGTGGAACCAAGTGTGGTTCTCAAGCTTCCCAGGGGAGCTTTTGTACTAAAAGTTATCATGGTGCAGCTTTCACTCAAGAGCTTTAATTTCGAAATTTATGAGTAACTCCGGGGGAATTCATTTAACTCAACTTTTTATATTTTGACTCAAATTTTTTTCATTTTGACTCCTAACTAATAAGTAATTTATACATTATAATTTTTTGTTCTAACGATAGGATATAAATTTGTTCATAATTTGTTTATTTTTTCTTGCCTTTCTTGCCCTTCTTGCTCTTCCTCTTTTTGGCCGCACTTGGCCTCGGGATATCCGCAGCCGGAATCTCCGGCTCAGGCACTTTTACGGGCAGTTTGAACATGCGGCACTCGGAACGCTCCTTAAGGACACTATTTGCAATTTTCTTTATCCCCGTTATCTTGGCAACCTTGACATTGTTCATCTCCTCCACCTTCTTGGCAGGATACACCTCCACATCGCAGCAGTTCTGAAGGAGCAGGACATCAGTGTTGCTGGCAATGGGATACTTTAGATAGAGGTCCCTGCCACAGTCCAGGCACTTGTTCTTCATTCGTTTCAGTTGGAATTTGATTGGAAAACATCGTCCTGCTATGGTATTATTGTCCAGGATAACCGAATGTTTGTACGTCGGCTTGGGGCGGGGTCTCTTGGTCCACTGTGAGGGGTTTAAAGGGCATTAAAAACAGAATGAGGTGAAATTTCCTAACTAATACACACCTCATCCAAGTGCAAAGAGGTCTCAAGTGGCCTGCACGAAGCCGAGCAAAGGTTCTGGCGAAGATCCTGCTCCTGGGCCACGTTCATGGTGCAACATCTCATGTTTTCCTTGTCGGAGTCCAGGAGCGGCCGCCCCTTGCTGCACTCTGCCCGGATATCGATCTGTTGTCGAACGGGTCCGTCCGGCTCAATGGCGGCCTGTATGATGTTCGCCTGCGGCTCGACCATACCGGACGGAGGTGCCGACACCTTGTAGTCCATGCACGGCCCGCAGGAGGGTTCAAAGCATTTCCGACAGGGAGGACTCTCGACAAAGTTCTTGTGGAACCAACGACTACAGCTGCTCTCCGGAGCGCCCATGATGCTAGCTTAAAAATGGTGTTGACTTGGCTACGAAAAATTTTGAAATGACTTCGGAGAGTCAATGAATTGAAGCCTCAATCCCTGCCTGTTTATTTGACTTTAAAATATATGTTTACATAACTCATTTGTTCTCGAGAGACTTGGCATCATCAAGTTTTTCCATTTCCACTTCTCCTGCGGTCTGGTCCTCCTCGTCAAATATCTTCAGATCCTTGGCGTGATGCCAAACTGCGATGTTTAGAAAGCCGCCGACAAAAATAAAAGAAGCAGCTGTGAGATTCAAGGCGTAACTGCAAGAGAAAATCAATTTAATCTAGATTCTGGTATGAAAGAATTCTAGAGTCACTTACCGCAGAGATTCCGTATCATAGAGCCAGCAGTTTCCCTTGTTGGAGCAGGTCTTGCCCCACACCAAGCAATAGTTATCAATTAGCCAGCCGAAAAATATGGGACTTGGGATAAAGCCAAGTAGCGAGGCTACCATGGAACCCAAACCCAAACCGAAGGTCTTATCCTCTTGGGGAATGCAGCGCAGGGCGAGGAGCAGATTGGTGGATTTGCTAGAAGCGCCCACCAGCTTCAGGAAGCACATGACGCCCAGGAAAACAAGGAACTGATTGAAGCAGTCCACAGGACAGGTACCATCCACAGCGAATTGGGACTAAAAAACCCAAAGTCTTAGTTAAAAGTATTGTTTAGAATAGAGTAAAACCTACCTCCATGCCATTTTCTAAGCTGGATGATCCCATGCATTTGCAGCCTGTGAAAATAGTTTTTCCCAGTGCATCCTTCGTCCTCCCGGTGCAGCCCGCATGGCAGGCAGAGATGTAGGTGATGTTCTCGGGACTGCAAACCGGAGCATAGTGAACATAATCGCAGTGACAGGATGCACTGCAGCTATTCTCAGCCGACAAGGTGGTCAGCGAGTTCAATCTATCACTACTCTCGCATCCTATGGCCACATAGCAGAGGATTCCGGCCACCGTAACAAAGTCCACAATGGCATTCCAGGAGGCCATTGCCCTGGCACTTGGCCTGTACTTCGAGATCACGTACCCAGAGATGAGGACTCCGGCGGCCGAGAATCCGAGGGCTACTGTTCCTGTGGCCATGGTGGCCATGGCCGCCGATTGTCTGTACTGGGTCTCAATGTACTTTGGAGTAAATATCCAGTAGGCCATGTAGCCAAAGAAGTACAATATGGAAGCCATGGTGTTGTACACATACACCTTGTTTTTGCTCAACTTCCTGACCGTCTGCATCATGTCACTGAAAGAGCGCTCCTTGAGATTTATTTCGTGTTTGCCTTCGGCCTGTCCTAACTGGAGCCTTCGCCTTCTCGAACTGGGCAGCTCTTTGGGAAACATAAACAGGAAAATGGCAGAAACCAGGCTCATTGCGGCCAGTACAATCCAGCCAAGCCACCAGGCGCCCATCCATCGGGGATCCTCCCTGCCAATCAGAGGTTCCAATGTGGGTTCTATGTAGAGACGCAGGCAGAGAGCAGCAAGGGAATAGCCTATGGCTGGACCCAGCATCCTTAAGAATGTGGATAAACCTGGGATAAAGTTAAATTAACTCTTTACTTTGGTTACAAATAACGACACTACTCACTCAACATGGCAGGAGTCTTGGACTTGGTGCCATTGTCATCCATGTATGCAATGCCCAAAGTGTAGAAGAGGGCCTGTCCCACTCCAGAGATAAGTTGAGCCGCGAACAGGAACACCTGGGGAACCCACTGACCAATTTCCTCCTGGATACAACCAGCGGCACTTGACTGACACAGCTTCTGATCCTTCTCCTGCCTGGCCAGAGTCTCATTGATTTGTCCATATTCCCGTGTCAACTTCAGGGCATCCTCGCCGGCACCGTAAATAAAGTGCAGCGAACTTGTCAGCAGGCAAAAGGCGACAATGGTCAGTAGACCTAAGTGGGAAACTATTAGGTTAAAGGAAAAGCTTTAAACGCTTAACTCACCTATTCCCATCCAGCGGGGTCGATGCCCATTTCCCGCATAATAGCCCAAGAGGGCGGCCGTTAACATGGTGCTGATATCATTGCCCACCGAGATAATGCCGGATATCTTTGTGGGTATTTTATAGCGCTTCTCCAAGGTTGTAATCGTTCCATTGAAGTAGGCGAAGGTCATTGTCATCACACAGCCAGCAATTCCATACAGAATCACATACATTTTCTCAGTTGCGAATCTGCAAATACAATCCATAAAGTTAAGATACAAAACTATATATAGGTTGATGTGATTACCTCTGCATGGAGGGACCCTTGAATAGCCAGAATCCGCAGGAAGTCTCTCCTCCACTGACATCTTTCTCTTCCGATACATCCTCGGGAGAGCTTTTCAAATTGTTTGTTTTTTCAAGGAAGGGCAGAGCCTCACTCGGCTCAGAGGGCACAACCTTCTCGTTGTCAACTTTCATCTCCAGACAGCGAGTACGAACTGATATCTATCAGGAATAGCCAGCTGCATCTCAAGTATCTCAGCTTGCTGTTCTTATCAAAGCAGTCAGATTAGACAAGTGAGGATCAGACAGGTGACAGGGGGTATAAATATTAAGAAGAGCTAATTGAAAAGGTTTCCTTATCATACCTGCGTATCTTTTTCGGAAACGTGTGAAATTCTGGCGTGAGTACAATCTCAAAACATGGGTGTTCCACGTATCCCAAAGATAAAAAGAGGATTGAGCTTGATGCAAGAAAAAAGCTTTAATATAAACATATAATTATGTAGAGTCTTATTCCTGTTTATTGGCAGGTATGGTTAAATCTATCACTTCACCCTGGCTCTGAGTGTCTGCAATCTCCTCTTCATCGAAAATCTTGATATCCTTGGCATAATACCATATCCCGAAGTTCCAGAAGCTTTCAAGGAACATAAGAAAGGCGCTAACGAGGTTTATAGTAAACCTGTAGAAGAGGAAATAATTTGGTATTCCATATAAATAACCTCTTTGCTCACCTCAAGGACCTCGAGTCGTATATCCAGCAGTTTCCCTCAACTCCGCAGGTCTTTCCCCAGACCAGACAGTAGTTATCCCACATCCAACCTGAGACAATGGGACCCGGAATATACACTAGCAATGTAAACATCATGGTGCTGAAGCCCATGGAAAATGTCTTATCTTTCGTAGGGACGCATCGAAGGGCAAGAAGCTGATTACTAGAGCTTCCTGTGGCACTTACGAACCTTAGGAGATACATTATTGCCAGGAAGATTATGAATTGCTTGGTGCAGTCCACCGGACAGGCACCATCTAGGACAATTTGAGACTGGGATGTCATAAATGTTTCATTAGAAAACAAAGTTTGGTTCAGCGAGCTGCCCAAGCACTTGCAACCTGTGTAAATGGTCCTTCCGAGATCATCAAGTCCCTTTTCCGTGCATCCCGCGTGGCATGCCGAGATGTAGGTGACATTATCCGGACCGCAAACTGGTGCATAGTACACATATTCACAGTCGCAGGATGCGCTGCAGGTGTCGCCAGTTGGAATTATGGACAATGAGTTGGCTCTGTCGCTCTCGTCACACCCCACAAAGGCATAGCATATAAGTCCAATCACTCTGATATAATCCAAAACAAAGTTCCAGGCAGCCATTGTCCTGGCACTCGGCTGGTACTTTGAGATTACGTATCCAGAGATTAGGACCCCGGCGGCGGAGAATCCGAAAGGCCAGGTTCCCGTAGCCAAGGTGGATGTGGATGCCGACTGCCGGAACTGGATCTCCATATACTTGGTCATGAAGCTCCAGTAGGGCATGTAGCTATAGCAATAGAATATAGAGCCTATTGCATAATAAACGTAGACCTTATTGGAGGCTAATCGTTTCAGGGAGTCCAACATATCTCTGAAAGAGGGATCCTCCATAGAAGTATCCATCTCTCCTCTATCCTCCGCCTTCAAGCGTCTGATCCTGGCTTTTGGCGTCTCCTTGGGAAAGATGCCTACAAAAAAGGCTGAGATGAGAAGTATAAATATCATGGGGATCCAACCCAGCCACCAGGCTCCCATCCAGCGGGGATCCTCAGAAGTGATCAGGGGCTTCTTGAAGGGATCGATGTACAGGCTGAGGCAAAAGGAGGCCATAGAGAAGCCCATGGCAGGACCCAGCATATGCAGGAAAGTTGATATACCTAAATGAAAGGTGGATAAATGTATTACTGAGATATGTAATTTAATTCCTACTTAGCATGCGTGGCGACTTGGCTTTTGATAGATTATCATCCATGTAGGTTAACCCCGGGGCATAGATAAGCGAGCATCCAATGCCTCCGATAAACTGAGCTATAAAGAACAAAACAATTGGTTTGTAATCCGCAGTGTTCTCTACACATTTCGAGTCCTTCTCATGACAAAGGGCGTCATCCTTTTGGGTGGAGTTCAAAGTAGTATTATCAAATTCCATCAATCCGTACTCCTTCGTGAGTCTCAACGCCTCTTCGCCGGGTCCGTAGAAGAAGTGTGTGGATAGCATTAGCACACAGAAGAAGATAATGATCAGCATGCCTAAAATATATTAAAAAGATCTTAATTAAGTGCATTATAGTAACTTTAAATAGACATTTTGATATGGAAATTTTCTGGTCAAATTAAGGATTTCAAATATCATAACTAAGCCAAAACCTAATTCATTTCAATTCGGAATACTTTCCTTTCGTTTTTTAATAGTTAACTTATATAGCACATCAAGTTTAAAATTTAGGAAATACTATTTTTTCGTAAATTTTGAAAATTTTAACGCTGTAACCCCTTATAAAAGTTTGAAAGAATTAAAAAAGAAATTTCGGCCTGATACGACTGGATCGATTGGGTTTTAGATGCTGATCAAAAATATATATAATTTATAGGGTCGGAAATTGCTCAATTTAAAGTTCTACAACATTTTCCAATATTATATTTAAATTTTGAACATTCACCGTTTTGCATTTTCCTCTACTTTTAGCGATCGTTTGTATGGCAGCTATATGATATAGTAGTACGATTTTCATAAAATTGTATTTCTAAATTAATATATATTATGTATTTATAAAATTTGATGAAAATCTGTTGAAAACTGGAAAAAATATAATATTTTTTCTTAAAATTCAGCCGTTCCTATGGCAGCTGTATATATGTATATATATAGTCCACTGATTAGCCACGCAATAACTTATATACTAGTAAAATTATATAGAAGAATAACTCAATAGTTTCATTCAAATAGCTTGCTCTTTTTGTTCCAAAACAAGTCTCGCACTTCTGAACATATGATTCCCAACTGCTTCTAACTTCCCCGGAACGAAGTGACTGCTGCCGGCCAAGTCTCAGAAAAGTGTTGTGTTACAAAAGTTGCAAGTCATTGTTTATTAGTGTTCAAAGTTAGTAACTGGTCATACATACATACTTAATGGCCATTGATACTTACTGTTCAGAGTTAATTCCTAGTCATAGATACTTACTGATCATAGTTAATTACTGATCATAGATACTTGCTGATTATAGTTAATTACTGATCATAGATACTTGCTGATTATAGTTACTTGCTGATCATAGTTAATTATTGGTCATAGATACTTACTGTTCAGAGTTACTTACTGGTAATAGATACTTACTGATCATAGTTAATTACTGATCATAGGTACTTGCTGATCATAGTTAATTACTGGTCATAGATAGTTACTGTTCAGAGTTACTTACTGTTCAGAGTTACTTACAGAACAACTCTCGCACTTCAGTACATATGATTCGCAACTGCTTCTAACTTCCCCGGAACGAAGTGACTGCTGCCGGCCAAGTCTCAGAAAAGTGTTGTGTTACAAAAGTTGCAAGTCATTGTTTATTAGTGTTGAAAGTTAGTAACTGATCTTACTTACATACGTACCGGCCATTGATACTTACTGTTCAGAGTTACTTACTGGTCATAGATACTTACTGATCATAGATACTTGCTGATTATAGTTAATTACTGGTCATAGATACTTACTGTTCAGAGTTACTTACAGAACAACTCTCGCACTTCAGTACATATGATTCCCAACTGCTTCTAACATCCCCGGAACGAAGTGACTGCTGCCGGCCAAGTCTCAGAAAAGTGTTGTGTTACAAAAGTTGCAAGTCATTGTTTATTAGTGTTCAAAGTTAGTAACTGGTCATACATACATACTTAATGGCCATTGATACTTACTGTTCAGAGTTAATTCCTAGTCATAGATTCTTACTGATCATAGTTAATTACTGATCATAGATACTTGCTGATTATAGTTAATTACTGATCATAGATACTTGCTGATTATAGTTACTTGCTGATCATAGTTAATTATTGGTCATAGATACTTACTGTTCAGAGTTACTTACTGGTAATAGATACTTACTGATCATAGTTAATTACTGATCATAGGTACTTGCTGATCATAGTTAATTACTGGTCATAGATAGTTACTGTTCAGAGTTACTTACTGTTCAGAGTTACTTACAGAACAACTCTCGCACTTCAGTACATATGATTCCCAACTGCTTCTAACATCCCCGGAACGAAGTGACTGCTGCCGACCAAGTCTAAGAAAAATGTTGTGTTACAAAAGTTGCAAGTCATTGATTATTAGTGTTCAAAGTTAGTAACTGGTCATACATACATACTTACTGGTCTTAGATACTTACTGTTCAGAGTTACTTACTGCTTATAGTTACTTAACGCTTATAGTTAATAAAAGCATACATATGTATATCAGAGCAAGTAATAGTTTGTATTAATTAGTTATTAGTTAACTTCCGCATGTGTGTGTTTCCGTGTCATTTCTCTAATTCTAATTGAGCACACCCACAACAATTATTCTCTCACGTCTTACCTATTTCTAATTTTAATATAAATATTTTATATACTTTACCTAGGGAAATCCAACGCGGTCGATGTCCTCTACTGGCGTAATAGCTCAAGGATGCCGAGCAGAAGACAGTGCTTATATCACTGCCCACTCCGATGATTCCGGTAATCTTGCTGGGTATATTGAAGCGTTTCTCCATTGTGGTAATGGTTCCGGCGTAGTAGGAGGAAGCCATGGACAGAAAACAGCAAGCCATTCCATAAATAACAACGAACATGCTCGCCGTGGCGAATCTGGTGAGTAGACAGTCATTTATGTTTGGGAAAGCCAACTTGGCAGCAAGTAACACCTTTGAAGAGCACGTCCCTTGAATATAGAAAAGCCGCAGGTAGTTTCTGGAGAATCCTCTAGTCTCTCGGAAGCATCATTCTTTAGAGATTTGCGGGTTTCGTTTCTTATGCTGTCCGAGATTACCATCCTGTTCTGTTGAATTATTTGAATGCACTGATCTCTCAACTCAGAAGCAAGTTCTAATCCAATTGCTGGACCGGATTAAACACAAAAAAGCTCAATTTTATGTAGTTAAGTTAAGGCGGGATCTGCTTTTTAATTGCCAGCAATTAGCATTCGAGTAAACACAGTGATGTGAGCATACAGTTAAATGTTTTAGTAGATTATATAGGGGAAATCCCATATGGAAGATAGAAGCAGTCCACAGGGCAGGGAATTGGGTTTGAATATAACAAATCCTTAAAGATATAGATGCTTCGATTACTCTATGCATTTGTATCCAGTGACAATGCCGCTTTCCAGCTTATTTGTGGCTACCTTCTCCTCAACTCTTATCCCCACACAGCTCGTGTGAACTGAATCTGTCTATCAGAAATCGCTTATCCATATAAACAACTGCATCTCACAGCTTACTCTTCTTATCAAGGCTGTCAGATTAGACAAGTGAGGATCAGACAGGCGACAATTATGTACTATATGTATAAGGGAAATAAATCTTAATAAGAGCTAATTGATGGGGTTTCTTTATCATACGAAAACATGTGAAATTCAATCTCAAAACACTTGTTTGTTGCCAAGATAAAAATAGATCAAGCTGGTAAAAGAAAAGAACTTTATTATAATATTGATATTATTTCCTAATGGTTTTCCTTAAGTTCTAATTGATCAGCCTGTTTATCGGCACTAATTGAGTTTGACTTCTCCTTAAGCTCTACCAATTCACCCTTGTTGCCAGGTTCTGCAGTCTCCTCCTCATCAAAGATTTTCATATCCTTAGCATGATACCAGACTCCGATATTCCAAAAGCTTCCCAGGAAAATCAGGGAAGCGCTCACGATGTTCATTGTATATCTAAATGAGAAAATAGTAACTTTAACTTTAAATAATTTTTAGATTGAATTGCTCACCTCAAGGACCTCGAGTCGTATATCCAGCAGTTTCCCTTGGATCCGCAGGTCTTTCCCCAGACTAGGCAGTAGCTATCCCACATCCAGCCAAAGACAATTGGACTGGGAATGAAGGTAAGCACGGAATAAACCATGCTGCCGAAACCCAGAGCAAAGGTCTTATCCTTTGAGGGGACGCATCGAAGTGCCAGGAGCAGATTACTGGACCTTCCTGTGGCGCCTACGAACTTCAAGAAGCACATGACGGCCAGAAAGATTAGGAATTGTTTGGTGCAGTCCACGGGACAGGCTCCATCCATGGCGATCTGAGACTGGGATGTCATAAATGTGTCATTAGAAAACAAAGTTTGGTTTAGCGAGCTGCCCAAGCACTTGCAGCCTGAGTAAATGGTCCTTCCAAGATCGTCCAGTCCCTTTTCCGTGCATCCCGCGTGGCATGCCGAGATGTAGGTGACGTTTTCCGGACTGCAAACTGGTGCATAGTACACATATTCACAGTCGCAGGATGCGCTGCAGGTGTCGCCAGTTGGAATGATGGACAACGAGTTGGCTTTGTCGCTCTCGTCGCACCCGACCAGGACATAGCAAATAAGTCCAGCCACTGTGAGGTAGTCCACTACAAAGTTCCAGGCAGCCATTGCCCTGGCACTCGGCTTGTACTTTGAGATTACGTATCCAGAGATAAGAACTCCGGCGGCGGAGAATCCAAGGGCCCAGGTTCCCGTGGCCATGGTGGAAGTGGAAGCCGATTGGCGGTACTGAATCTCTATGTACTTGGGCGTAAATATCCAGTAGGGCATGTAGCCAAAAAAGTAGAGTATGGAAGCAAAGGTGTTGTAAACGTACACCTTGTTGGAGGCCAGTCGCTTTAGGGAATCCATCATATCCTTGAATGAGCGTTCCGCCAGCGGAGTGTCCACCTCTCCCTTGTCCTCCGCTTTTAAACGTTTGGCCCTGGCTTTGGGCATCTCTTTGGGAAAGATGCCTACGAAAAAGGCTGAGATAAGTAGGATGAATGTCAGGAGGATCCAACCCAACCACCAGGCACCCATCCAGCGGGGATCCTCTGGCGTGATCAGTGGCTTCTTGAAGGGATCGATGTATAGGCGAAGGCACAAGGAGACCATGGAGAATCCCATGGCAGGACCCAGCATACGCAGGAAAGTAGACATACCTGAAATTCAGATAAATGTGAAGCGGATAATGGGAGTAATCATATTGATTCCTACTCAGCATGCGTGGCGTCTTGGCATTCGATAGATTGTCGTCCATGTAGGAAAGCCCCGGGGCATAGAAGAGAGAGCATCCAATACCGCCGATAAACTGTGCTATGAAAAACAGGATAATCGGTTTATAATCCGCAGTGTTCTCTATACATTTCGAGTCCTTCTCATGGCAGAGGGAGTCATCCTTATGGGTGGAGTTCAAAGTAGTATTAACGAATTCCATTGATCCATACTCCTCCGTGAGTCTCAGTGCCTCTTCTCCGGGTCCGTAGAAAAAATGTGGAGTTAACATGAGCACACAGAAGAGGGTAATGATAAGCAGGCCTGCAATAAATTCAACAGATCCACTAATATGTATATATACATATATTAAGTTATAGAAGACTTTACCTAAGGCAACCCAACGTGGTCGGTGTCCCTTACTGGCATAGTAGCTCAAAAGAGCCGATGAGAAGACAGTGCTTATGTCATTGCCCACCGTGATGAGTCCTGAAATCTTGCTGGGAATATTGAAGCGTTTCTCCATCGTAGTAATTGTTCCAGTGAAATAGGTAAAAGCCATGGCCAGAAAGCAGCTAGCTATCCCATAAATAATCACAAACATGTGAGCAGTGGCGAATCTAGGGTGCGGAATATCGTTAATGTTGGCATAATCCAGCTTGACAGATAGTCGCACCTCTGGAGAGCAGGTCCTTTAAAGATCGAAAAGCCACACGTGATGTCTGAAGGATCCAGCTCCTCCGGCCTTTTGGCCTCATCTCCGCCAGCCTCCTTATCCTTCAGAAACCTGGAGGTTTCGGTCTCTTTGCTGCCCGAATCGACCATCTTGCTCTGTCGAACCACTCGAATGCACTGATCTCTCGGATGAGTAGCAAGTTACAATCGACTTGCCGGCCCGGGTAGAAAAGCTTCTAGATAACATATAACGACCTTTAATTTTATATAGCCCAACCTGTCCGTCTCGACATTTATCTCTCTAATCGGGATCTTCTTTTAATTGCCAGTAGTTACCATACAAGTGTACACAGTGGGACGAGCACACTGTTACAATACAGTTTATTATCGTACCGGACTCTACGGGGGGAAATCACACATGGATATTGACAAATCAAGGCACCAAAACTCTCACTCACACAGCTCTTAGGTGTAACAATAACTTAGGTCTAGATCTCTGTATTCTTCTCGTTGCTGGCCTCCTCCTCGTGCTGAACGATCTGCATCTCCACTTCCTTGACCTCCTCGTCGAAGATCTTTAGGTCCTTGGCGTAGTACCACACGCCCAGATCGAAGATGGACCCAATGGCAATGAAGACAGCAGCAGTGAAGTTCAGAGAGTATCTGAAAGATAGATTCGAATAGAGTTTAAGATTCTGTTAATTTTAGGAGGTTTACCCACCTCATGGATTGGGGATCGTAGAGCCAGCAATTGCCCTTGTTCGTACAGGTCTTGCCCCATACGAGACAGACCCTGTCGACGACCCAGCCGAAGAAGATGGGGCTGGGAATGAAGGCCAGCATCGAGCACATGGTCATGCCGAAACCCATGGCCGCCGTCTTGTCCTTTTCAGGAACACATCGCACCGAGACCAAGAAATTTGAGGCCCTACCAGAGGCTCCCACAAACTTCAGGCAGCACATCACGGCCAGAAAGGCCACGAACTGTGTCCAGCAGTTTACCGGACAGGCTCCAGGCATGGCCTGACCGTTTGCCAGAACCTAAGATGGAAGGATTTAGTTATTTGGATTTCCCCTTGAAAAGTGTGGTCCTCCGGCATACCTCCAACTGGTTCAGAGTGGACATGTCCAGGGTGGAGTTGTCACTGCTTAAATCAGAGCTGGTTAGGCGTGTGAACTGATTCGTTGAGTTGCCGCCTTCATTGCCCGGAATACAGGAGCAATCGTAGAAGATCTGCAAGAATATAAACAATAGTAACTTAGCTTTTAGTTTTTAATACCGAAACTCACCTTCTTTCCCTCAGCGTTGACATGCAAGCTTTTGCATCCTGCGTGGCAGGCGGAGATGTAGGTCATATCGTTCTCGCCACAAACCGGAGAATATCGGACATAATCGCAGGAGCAGGCAGAATTGCAGGTGGTTGTGTTGCCCGCCAGGGAACTGTCATGGATGTTCACTATCACGGAGCTCTCGTTTCCTGGACATCCAATAAAGGCGTAAGCCAGGATGCCGGCCACCGTGAGGAAGCCCACGATCACGTTCCAGGCTGCCATATACCGAGCTCGAGGCTTATACCTCGAGATGATGAAGCCGGAGAGTAGCACGCCCACGGCGGAGAAGGCCAGTGCCACAGTTCCGGTCACCATGGAGGATGTGGCCGCCGACTGGCGGTACTGCACCTCTATGTACTTGGGCGTGAAGATCCAGTAGGGCGTGTAACCCACCAAATAGAAGATGGTTGAGAGTGTGTTGCACATGTATGTCTTGTTGGTGATCAATCGTCGGAAGGTCTTTAACATATCCTGGAACGAGGCTTTTCCCTCCACAGTGGCCGACTTTTGGTCCAATTCGGCGTTCAGGCGTTCCTTTTCTGAACTCTTGAGCGCAAGCTTCTCCTTTTCTCGAGCACGATTCTCCTCCACCTTTCGGCGGGCAACTGCCCTGGGTAGATCCTTGGGGAACATGGAGAGGAACACGCCAGAGAAGGCCAGCAGACCGCCCATGACCAGCCATCCCAGCCACCAGGCGCCCAACCAACGCGGATCCTTGTTGTTAATAACCGGATGCATCTGCGGGGCAATGTACAGCCGCAGGCAAAAGGAGGCCAGTGCATATCCAATGGCAGGACCCAGCATTCGCAGGAAATACGAAAGACCTGCAAAAGTGTGTCGATTTAGATAGGCAGGAGGCAGGGTTAGCACATTGTTAGACAAACTGAAATAACTTGAAAATTATCTTGTTCAATGAAAGGCTTAGGTTTATCTTCTACACGCTTAGTGAGTTTTATAAGTGGATCACTAGATAGCCTGGCTGCTGAAGAATATTTTCTTAATGTCATAAAGCAGATAACATTTTGGCATCCGATGATGAAGGGAAACTAGCAAATTCTCTCTTAACAAAACTTTAGATAGTGACTGTTGTTCCATGTCAGTATCACTTTCGTATTTGGAACCCCAACCGTCAATGGTTATCGCTGAATCAGCGTTAAACAACCCGTCACTGTCTTAGCTTATCACCTCCTCTACACAGCACATAGAGAGGTTCAAGGTAGCCAAGATACCGGGGATTAAGTGATTAGCCTATTGTCTCTTTGGTTGAAACCAGTTATTTTTAATGCCAAAGCAACTACTACTCACTCAGCAGAGCCGGTGTCTTAGACTTTTTGGTGTTGTCATCCATGTAGGATACGCCCAGAGTGTAATAAAGGGATCCACCGATACCCGATATGAATTGGGCCACAAACAGGAGCAATTGTGGTGCAAAGTTTCCCTCGCCCATCTCGCATTCCGCTCCGCCACCATTTAAGCGGCACAATGTCTTGGAACGTTGCTCCTCAATGGCCTCCATGGTGGCATTTTCATCGGGCAACCCACCAAACTCTGCGGTCAGAGCCAGAGCATCTTCGCCGGGTCCGTAGAGAAAGTGCGGAGAGGTGGTCAGCACGCAGAACAGTACAATGGTTAGTAGTCCTAATGAAGAGATTTTCGTAACTACATGATTATCCTTGAAGAATATATAGGACTTACCAAAGCCTATCCACCTGGGCCGATGACCCTTGCCGGCATAGTAGGCCAAGACTGCAGATACCAAAGTCTGGCTGATATCATTGCCCACCGAGATGATTCCCGTGTTCTTTGAGGGAATCTTGAAGCGCTTCTCTATGGTGGTAATTGTTCCATTAAAATAGGCATATGTCATTGAAAAGATACAGCCAACGATGCCATAGAGCAAGACATAAGCTGTTTGATTGGCAAATCTGCGAATAATGTTTATGCTTAGAACTTGTCACTTTTAAACTATGTTTTTATTATTATAATTCCCACCTTTGGTAGAATGGTCCTTTGAATATCCAAAAGCCGCAAGTTACATTCTTCTCCAGCGGTGATTCATTCAGGAGTTTGTTGATTTCGGCTGTCATTAGGCGATCCTGTTCGCTCTTCTGTTTCTTCTTCTTGGGCTTTGTTTTTCCTGTTGAGGAGGGTTCTTTCTCGCCCAGATTGATGCCCGCCTCCTGCTCCTTGTCGTAGGTTTTTCCATTATCCAACAGGCGGGTCTCTGCATCGGATTCATCTCGCGATTCCGGACGACCAGCCTCCGCATCCTGCTCCGCATCGTGACCCAGGCTGCTGGGATTCTCGCTCTGCACCATCCTAGTTTCGTCTCGATTCTGGTCTCACGCGGTCTCACTTAGCACATGGGCCTCTCTGGGCGGGAGGCACTCAACTCACACGCGCACGTTTCTTAATCTTCGCCAGATCTGTATCGCTAAATGGCAATTAGCTCGGTTCCGGGTTCCCGAGGATCTGGTCGTATCTACACAACAACAACCTGACGCGAGACCGGGCGCTGATCGAGTGGCATGATGTGCTCTGGTGGCGTCGGATCTTAACTGTATCTTGCAGCTGCCGGCTCTGGCCCGAAAGGGGGTGACGTGCCCACACAGCTTGTGCCAAATATTTTGTATTAAAATATTATCTCAGACCGACTTATCACTTATCACTCGCCAGAGCCAAGAGCCATTGAGCTAATCTTCGTTTTTTACTCCTCCGCACCGTTCTCGTCCAATCATGCTGCTTCTGTGGTCGCCTCTGAGATTTACGATTTGTGTGCGGCTTGAGTTCGGTGCTAAAGACATAAAATAGACAGGAAAGGTGATAAGTGATAAGATGGAAGAGTGCTCTCCAGACGGAAGATGTGCAGCGGGCAGGATTATCTTATAGCGCCAGAGATTCGCGGGGTTTGCACATTGATGAGCACGTAAATCTTGCCCGCGAATGACTTCCAAGGAAATAATAATCGCTGACACGTATGTCTGTGCACATCACCCCCTCGGACAAACACTACATTTGCACTCTCATTGTTTTAGTTTGGGATTAGGTACGGGTATCAATGTGATATAGTCGCTATCACAGTCGCCATAGTGTTGGTGCCAAATTAGTTTAGTCAGAGAGAGAGAGAGAGAGATCTTCTCGGCTGCACAGACTCACTTTATATTATTATTATTATTGTCAGTAGTCCGATTTGGGTTTATGCGAGTAACTGAATCTTCCCAGGCCCCGTCCCTCCGACCTGTGTTCTATTATTTAATGTGTGTACCCGTAACCGTACCCTGTGTGTGTGTCTGTCTGTCTTTTCTGTATGTATGAAGAGCTTATGTGTCGCCACAATTCACTTAGAATATTTAAATTTATGCTCAACTTATCACTTGAACTTTATCTTGATTGTACATATGTACAAATGTGCCTGCCGTTTTCGGAGGAATCAACTAGAACTTCGCTGTCCCTTGAACTTTCTCCATCCGCTAATTCCGGCTAATTCTTGTAATTTATTTGCCCTTGCCAAACTTACGAATCGTTTTTAGTACTATTACTATTACTATACCGATTTGTTTTTGTTTCGATCGCGGTTTTTCGAGACACTGGATGCTGGAACGATCTCGAGTCGGACAAGACCGTAAGCGAACTAAACTAAACTAATCTAAGCGCAGCGTGTTGTGCGCTCAATGCTCATTCATCTCAGGAGGAAGAATTCTCCTCGAAAGCGAAGCTTTGGATTCGGTCTCGGTCTCTGTATCTTTAGCTTCGTATTTTCACTGTGTCACTGACATCAATTCCCCCGTCAAAATAGTTAGCTCGCAGGTATCTCTATATATGTACTATGTATATTGTTCCTTTTGTAGTTCATGTCAAAAGCAATACTAAATTGGGCACTCTCACAAGCAGCAAACTAAGCAAACGAAAGTGAAACCATAGAGTAAATATGGGTAATTACAAAGGGCATTAGATAATTCAGAGAAGAGATAAGATTATGAGAATCAATTGGAATAATATTTTAAAGTAAACATAAGTTCGAGGTTATATTTGAGAGGAAAGAAGTGCATTAGTAATATTAAGTAAACAAATCAATGTGCTGATCTAACTAAAAACAGTTTCCAATTCGTGTGGCTTTGATTTAACCCCGAATGAGGGGGCCTGCGGTTGCCAGTGGCATCAAGCAACCCCCATGAGATACAAAGATGTGCCACTGTCTCGGATCCGGGTATCGGGTTTCCAAGAAAGCTCACTCTCTCTCTACCGTGTGGGTTTCTTTTTGTTGTTGTCTGTATGTAGATCGTAAACGATAAGCTTCCCGCTACACTATGCCAAAAGTTTTCCCCCACTCACCACCCCCAAAAGAAAATTGAATTCAAATTGCAATTACAGCGACCACATATGCAGAAGACGGTGGCAGTAGCTTAAAAATAATCCCAAGACACGACTTCTTGGAAGCACACATGTAGGCGGCATTGGAACATCATATGTTCCGGCATGGCAATAAAAATCAAAGGCATAATTTCATGATATCAATTGAGCGGCAATAAAAACGGCAGTCCCCCAGAACCATGTTTATTATTATTTTTCATTATTATTTTTCGAGTTTTCCCACACACACACACACACACACACAGCTGCCGCAGTTCCGCTTGCTCTCCTTCCATGCTAGAAAATGGCAAAGGCAGGAGCAAATGTGACCGCGACTCTTAGATGGGGGATTTCCATATACCAGCACCAGCAGGGCTCAGCATAAATAACAAACAAATGAGGCAGAGATGTAGATGTGTAGCCGCAGCCTCTTTATCTATGTTGTGGCGGTCCGCCTGTAAGTATGCAATGTTTATGGCGAAATGCTCAAAATGCTGGCAATTCCGAGCTGGTTGGTGCCCCTTCTTTATGCCGCTGGCACGCGTCGTTCTCTCTTTGCGATTTTATTTCCGGCCAAAACGTATGCAAATGTGTGCCCTCTGTTTTCACCATTTCCCTCTCCCACCCCCCCTTGGAATTTTCCCCATTCTTATCGCTGTGACACACATAAAACGGCAACGGATGCTGGAACTGACAATAAATAATAATTTTGTGTTGTACTTGCAGTGAATCTGCATGAATTATAAACGCGAATGCAAGACTTGCTTATCGCCAGGATATGAAGTCCTGCGTCTGAGTTGGTAGTCTTCAGTGGAAAGATGGATGCTGAGACGGCTTAGTGACGCCATGGCAAACATTCCCATGCTGCGTTTCCGTTTCCGGCGCGAGGGAGTAAGAGCGGGAGACGTGCCAACTAAACCGCTTAAGCACTCAATTTGCGCGTGAAAAGGAACTTGACGCCACACACACTCTCACACTCACACACACACACATGTGGGTGTTAACAGACCGCATAGGCCCAACTGCAGCCCCCACTGCCAACCGCGGCACATGTCAGCACTTTGTTGTGATTTCCGTTTCCGCTGTCGCTACATCCTTCTCGTCTCCCATCATTCGTTTTACCCCTTTGCAGTGCGAGTGTGTGCCAGTGTGTGTGTGTTTATTGATATTGTTGTCTTCCCGGCAGTCGCGTTTAACGGCATTTAGCATACGTTTCAGTTACTCACATGTGACAAAGGGTAGCAGAAGGTCCTTTGAATGTCTCGAATTTTAAAGCACTTTATTTATGAATCGAAGAAATGTAAAGTATATATATTTTACTATATAAATAGCCTAATTTTACCCATTGAAGGGTATTCAAACTTCCCAATGCTGTCAGAGGTTACTCCTTTTATTGTGTTCATTGTTACCCTTGATATGCGTAAATGTATTTATTTGTGACTTGCCCTCTGACGCCGCATCCCCTTTGCAGCACACCACCCCTTTTTTCACCGCCCGGCCGTCAAGGTTGCGTGTGTGTCAAATTAGGGTTAAATGCTTCTCCCCTACCATCCGCCCATCCATCCATCCATCCGCACACCCATCTCTTCCCCTGTCTTCTTAGCTAATTTGTTGTTGTGTTTTTTCTTCCTGGATTTTTATGTGCCGCCTTTGTTGGCGGAAAGGACTTTTGCCGGCGCAGCTTAGGAGTTTTTTGAACGCTGCACGCCCGACTGCTCTTGGCCTTAAGTAGGTCTTAAGTCTTCATTTGTCTATTCCGGCCAGGGAAATTGCGCTCCTCCACACTCTGTACCACACTCCTTGGGCACCGCTATGTAAGCGCTTAATATGCCGACCGCATGGAAAACCCACAATTTTCCAGTCCAATTTTTGCTGTCAATTTAAGTTGTAATTAACAGACCGACGGCTGAGCACTCCACCTTTCGAATATTGGCACAAAAACCACCTAAAACAAACCAAAAAAAAAAAATGGAAAGGGAATGAGAGTCCTGGGTGAAAGCAGAGCATATGGCATGCAGCTCACGTTCGCTCATTACGCATTTGATAAATTTAGCATGAACGCCAAAGGGGACGGAGGCACACACACCTTACACTCCCATTCGAACCAAAAAAAAAAGAAAAAGAGGAGAAAATATCAAGGATACGCCTGGGCAAATGTCAAAATAGACAATGCACAGATTACCTGAAGATGGAGGCGAGCTCATTCACTCATTCGGCACATAATTAATCAAAAAATGAATGCTCCGGGAGAGCTGTCCGCTTTTGGGGCAACCCGGGTACTGGTAAAGGTCCTGGCCGGATTTGGGTCATTAAAAGCATCCCGGACACTGGCACTGGGCGTGCATAATGAGGTTGGCTGCCAAAAGGATTAAGAGCCAAAAGCTGCCCAACATTTTTAATGTTCTCCTTATGCGCTGCGGGTCGCTGCTCCGAGTCCTGCTCCTGCTCCTGCTCCTGGTCCTGGTCTTCCTCTCGCTTTGTTCCCCACAGTCCACGCTCTCAACCATTCACATTTTTAATTCCTTTGCTTTTCTGTATTTTGATTCCTTTTTGGTCCGCCGTTGATGCATCTTATGCCACTTTGGCGAAAGCGGCTCGGAAAAATAAGCTTAGGAATGGAAAACAAACCTCAGCTCGAGTTTCCCTTTTCCATTGTATGTATCTCTATCGTTTTTTCCAATTTTAATTCCTGTTTTTTCCCCCGCTCAATTAGAGACCTTTTTTCATTGGTTTAACCGGGCATAGTATTTGGTATATATTTTATTCTTTTATTCTGAGCCCCAGGCCCGTGGCCACTTAAGTATGCTAAGCTCACAGCTTAATCTGGCTCTGGGGTTTGACCTCTTTCGATCACGTTCAGCCTTCGTTTTAATTGTGTTTTGTGCCCCTTTTTTTCTCCGCTGTCTTAGCCATTTTCCTTAGATACACGCATTTCCGGTAAAGAAATCGGTGCCGTAACGTTGATAAATTTCCAGCAATATGCTGTAATAAGCTGAAAAAAAAGCAATTTCAGAAACTTAATTTTTCAGCGATTATGTTTGTAAATATTTTCCTACCCAACCTACCCACAAAAACCTTTCCAGATCCTGTGTCCAATGAGCGCACAACCAAAAGACAAGCAAAGTCTCCTTATCAACGGCAAACATAGCGGGCGCCCCTCGTCCTTAAACAGCATCCTGTTGTCCGACTCCCACCCTGAATGGTCTCAAATATGAATTTATTTTCCATACTTTTCATCTCATTTCCCTTTGTGTTGTTTTTGTGCGCTCGTTTTTTGTATTTTAAGTCCTTGTAAAGTGACCCTTTTAATTTTCCTTGCGCTTCATCGTATTGTTGGCACTTAATGTATCTGTATCTGTATCCCAGAATTCACCCCCGGAGAGTAGAGTTTGTGCCTTTGTCACAGAGTTAATATATTCATGCGACGCATTTTTTGCGGTTTGACACGCTTGTTCTGTTCGGAATTTTCCCGATATATATCTTTTTGGGAATGGCATACAGATAGTCCAACTGATTGAATATATTTTGGGGTGAAGATTCTTCCCTCAAACTGTTCAAATCGCATTCAACATTTTAATTGCATTCATCTGGGCAGAAAAACGTATAATTTTCACTCGCTCACTCTTCGTTCCGTTTTCTGTCGATAAAACTTTTCAGAAGTTTATTTCTTAATTTCATTGGAAATGCGATGGGTCTCTACCAGCAGAGAAGTGTCTCTCATCTTGGACAAACTTTATTTCTAATCAATGTCCTGCTCTAGATACATAACTCAACTATTGAGCACTCTAACTAAATTAGTTGGAAAATTAGATTGTCCTTCTCCTCGTCGTCACTCCAGAGAAGGAGCTACTCTCGCATACCGATGCCAACTCCTTTGCAGGACCCAATCCTGGACCGAAATGGCTTCCGGTTGAAGGAGTCTACTGCCGCAAGTATATCGCAGAAGGGGCATTAAACGTTTTCTAATTAAGTGCGCCGTGGCTTCGTTGCTTTTATTATTATTTCGCTGGGCATCAAGGATAACAACGATTGTTCCTTTGGGCAGGACCAGCGATGCGTTTCTTTTTCGATTCGTAATACCCCCTAAAAAAAGGGTTAAAAATGGTAAATGGAAATGCTGCGGTGTCTGTTGCACGGTCTTATTGGATTAGATGGAAAATTGTCTCTGTTCTGCTTTGGAATGGTTCCTGAAACCGAATACATTTAATGACCGGGGATTCTACACAACTTGGGATTTCTTTCTCCCCTCAAAGGA